AAATATGAGAGTGATGTATGATCTTAGTTTAGATAGCATTTATCTTTATTACTTTTATCTCTGCAGTCATAATTTCAGTTAGATCCACCTTGTATAATCTACTTCTTTTTACAAAAGATTTCAAAAACAACTGTCAGTGGGAATTCTTAATCTCTGCTGTTTAAAATAATTTTCTTTGCTTTTCACATACTATAGAGAACTCATAAAGACATGCTGGATCCCCCTTGACACTTTTCTTTTTCACATAAAAACTGATTTCCAATAAAGAGATACTATTGTAACCTATTATGTATACTAAGAATAATCAACTACATTGTTCTGACAACATCACAACACAAAAATAGATGTTTTTTTAAATGATGCGCCATTATGTTGTATGGATGTACTCAGTGATGATCTAGCTAGCCTGTTCTTTCAACTGTCTCAATGGTGTACACATCACCGTAACTAATGATAACCTTTGCTGGTGGTTGTCCTCTTCTCTTTCCTTCTTCTCTTCCTTCCTACCATTCCCAGCATTAGAGTCTTTTCCAGAAAAAGCTGTTAAGAAATTATTCCCAAATTCATGATTCATTGCAGAAAGGGAAGGCCTACGGAACCTTAGTCTTACTATTCATTTACAACAGCCAATGATGAAAGATACTGAATCCAACAACATCTGGAAGGCCATAGGCTACCTAACTCTGACTTTAATTGTCAGGTTTTTCCAATTCTTCAGCAAGAACTTTGTCCTTGGCATTGGCATTTTAAAATATCACAATATCTACACCTCAATTCTTATTTATTTTAAACATTTATATAGCTTAAGTCCTATCTTAGTTGTGATCACCATTTACAAAGCAGTGTTTACTTAGCTGCTGAGATAATCAGTGAATAGTAAGGGAATAATCCTGTTTCATCCTCCCATTTTACACTGACTGTATTATCTGATGTATTATTTCTAAGAACATGCAGCAACAAGGCCAAAATCATGCATGAACATCCTGCAAAATGGAAAAACCCACACCTAATTATGTTGACTCCTGTTGCTATGTGCTCATTTTAATTTATGACTAATGCAAATGCATTGCATTATGACGTATGTTCCATTTTTAAGCTGTTCCTTCCACCAGTTTCTGATTCTCATTAAAAAATATCCAAGCATATATTTTAACACATCGTATTTATCTATCTAGTCTCTTTGTTTGGGAGATAGTTAAATATCACATAAAATAATATTTGTTTTAACTTGGAGCTCAACTGCAAGACACCCACACCCACACACCCAAGTCTTGAAAAAACTATCTGTATTCCTAACAATGTTTTATTTAACATTGCTTGTTAAATAAATTGAAAGAGGATCTGCATAGATACTGTACTGATCAGGCTGGACACAACTTGAGAAACAATTTTATAAAAAAATAAGAAAAGAATGAATAATGAATACCAATACAAAAGGATTGGTAGTTGTAAATGATACTAACATTTTTGTTTTGTTTGGTCTAGATATACACATCTATTTTTGTAATGGGACAGACGGCAGAACCAACTGTAATGTAACCAATTCCAGCAATCTCAGCTTAAGCATTTCTGAAGTACAGGAAGCATTGTGTTGTTTTGTTCTGAACTCACTGCAACACTTCTGTGTGGTATCATCCTTTAAGACTAACAGATTTCAAAATAAAATATGTTAGTCTTAAAACGTGCTACCATTCTTGTTCTAATTGGGTATGTCAGACAAACAGAGCCGATTTGAGTCCCAAAACAAACTAAGAGAGAGTACAACTTTGCTAATGCCTAATCACAATTGATACTTTTAGAGCCCTAATTTGTACAAGCTGAGGTTTCTGGGCTATATTCAAATGTAATCATGACACCGCAACAGTCCACGATGCACATTGTCATTCTTGCAACTTCTACAGGCTAAGATAATAATGGCTTAAGAAGGTTAACAGGCACTTCCTAGCAAATGAAGACACATCTACTTCTGAGCAAAACTTAAAGCTCTTCATCTATTATTTATTTATATTATTATACAAAGTTCTTTGTTTTTAAAACCACCAGGACTTCAATCCCAAATATGTCAATATTCTTTTCTTTCATGAATCTTTTTGAAGGTTGCAAACTTATCAGTCTCCCAAGTTATTTTCTGAAGTCAAGGAAAAAAGAGCAAAAAGTTATTTGGTATTCTATTGGTGCAAAATGAGAAGGAATCACATTAATGGAATAATAGGTTTTTTTTCTGTTCTCCTCTATACGGTGGTTGACATCTTGATGGTGAGATGGGCGACATATAAAATAAACTGTGAATATGATCCGAAACATTTATACACATATACATACATATAAACCATATTTCTGAAAATATTAGCTGGTATAAATTTAATCTCCCCCATTCCCTTAACAGTACTAGAAATAGACTTAATGTATATATTGCTGCATAATGCTTTTACAGCCCTCTAAACAGTTTACAAGTCAGCCTATTGCCCCAAACAATCCAGGCCTTCAATTTTACCAAACTTGGAAAGAGCGAAGGTCAAATCAACCATGAGCCAATCAGTATCAAACACCAGGCTGTGAGCAGTCAGCCTGTAATACTACACCACCATTGCTTTAAAAAATTGTATAGGAAATATAAATCCTTAGCACCTTAATGCTGACTGTTTATTCATTTAGTTATATCCCAATCTAATTGCTATTCACTGAATTTATTCTTTTGTTATCTGTTTCTATTGATGCATACTTTGCAGAATTAACCAATTTGTGATAAAAATAGAGTCTGATTTTCGTGTGGTATATGATGATGTTTTGGTTTTTCTGAATGTGTTAAAAATTTGGAGAATAGAAATAGCTTTATAGAACTAACAGTGAATGTAAATATCAGGCCAAACATATAACTCCACCAAATAAAGAAAAAGAACATGCAAACTAAGCAACGTCATATAGTTGAACTAAGTACTGTAGCTATGAAGATATATAAAGACATTATTTATATTATTGCAATGTAACAAAAAAGCATTCATATATTTTCAATAAAGTACTACAATTACTTAGTGAAATAAGTAATGTGATATTCATGTTCAGAAATGTATCCTTGGTATAGAGGCAGAAGAGTGTTCAATTTATGTGTCCTATTGAACTGGGTACTTTTACTTGGGCTCAAAAGTCTTTGGCTCAAAAGTCTTCGTTTTGTTCCAGGGAAGGCAGCCAAACCAGGAAGTTTGCAGAATTGCCAGGAACAAAAAACAGTATTAGAGTTATTGTTTTAAATGTCCCCGTCACTGACTGAATTAAGGAAACATCACACTTTCCCCTGATAATTATATAGAAATTCCTAGAGAGAAATTCAATTACTTGATAATGTATATCTGGCTATACCCACCACATTATTAACGTTCACATAACAGAACCATTGAAGTGGCTAATCGAGAGAACTGAAAAGAAAAAAAGTCCAATCTTGAAAATTTTATAGACTGCTCATTACAAATCAAGATGTTCACAGTGAACTCAAAATCATCTGGAGGGCATTTAATGAATGTTGCGGACCAGGAACAAAAGGTCTCCAAAAGTAAAGATGATAGTGAAAGAAAAAAGAATTTCTTCCTTTCTTGATTGGATTATTCTACCTCATATCCTGTATTATGTTTATATAATGTCCTAAGGGATGTTGCTGCCTTCATTCTACTGCAGTTAAGTAGACAGCTTCCCAGAAGCATTCTCTAATCTGCTCCTTTTTCCACACGCCATGGCTCTCATCAAGAAGAAGCCAGAGACAATATAAAAGGGCACTAATTTTCAGAAAGATTTTGCTGGCAAGCCAAGAATATATTGTCAATTCCATCAGGTCAGTACTGGGGTAAATCTTTTGTATTTCAGCTGATGGTCTGCTCTCCACTGTACTGAAACCTAGCCTTGGCCATTTCCAGTAATACTAGCCATGGTTCTGAACCTGCTTTGTTCTGTTGCAGTTCTTGAAAAGGAGAGCCTTGAGCAAAGCAAAAATCCCCTTTTATCTCTATCATCTTTTCTCTTGGCAGAAGAATCAAGTAATTCTGAACTTCCTGAGGTTCTTTCTTTTTCCAGCTCAGGATATACCTATTATATTCTTTGTTTTGAATATAATCTAAGAGACTGTAGGCTTTGCCAAAAGCTCTTTCTTCAGCTTGTCTATCTGGTGTATACCTAGAATCTCCAGTTCAATGCACACACACACATATGCACACACATACACACTCCAAATTCACTTGATTGTCATGCTTTGTATAATTCATACTACCAGTTCATTCTATCTTCTGACCACGATATTACTTGACATCAGAAAAAGCAACAAGGATATAGTCACAAATAGAAGGAGATAGGTAATAGGAAGGATGAGAAGAATAGTAGTAATACAGTCTTAATAAATAGTTTAACAGTGTTGTGGGAATTAGTTGTTTAGCAGAGAAACTGCAGGGCAACCCAACTTAGCATAATGTTTTAGTATTATTCAAGTCGCCTTGAAGCATTCTGTATTCCATTTTTCTTGTAACTTATAATTATGAAACACTCTTTTTCTCTTTTGCAACTGATTGTGTGGTGATTTCCGTAGGGCCATCTTTCCCTCCAGCTTTGTCCATCTCTTCATCTTTTCTGTCTTTAAGTTAAAATTAGTGCATTGTTTCTTGGATGCAGTGAAATATATTGAAACACCTATTTCCAAGTACTATATACGTTAAACATAATTTAAATTTGGACAAATGGAATAGAATAATGGAACAAACAGAATGTATTAATAAAAGGTAATGTATAGGACAACAGGGAAAGAGGAATTGAAGCTTATAAATCTGCTGCACATTTCTAATCTTCACAACTAGAGATTAAGAGACAATGAATCTGTCATCTGTACTAGATTCTAGAGTTTAGAATTGTAAAACCTTTGACAGATCTTACTGCAATTTACAAAAAGTGATTAATTTCAGTGTTGCTTCTAATGAACTTACAATTCTAAACAAAATATCTGTTATTTGCAGTGGCATACTCACATTACTGACACTAAGCCTCCGTTGTTCAGTATTCATATGCATTCTTTCAAAATGGTGCAGCCCTAGGACAAGAGCCATCAAAACTACTAAGTCTATAGCATTTGTCTTCCTCCCCATTATAGAGTAGAAAACTAACTTTTGTAGAAAACAAACATTAATAAATACAAATGCTTAGAATATGTAAATTGGCTGGAGGACAAACAAGGGGAAAGTCATACATTAAATATTTATATTGTTTTATGAATTTTTCCACTTTTTCCTTTTTCTTCCCTTTTTAATCATTATAAACAATAATGTAGTGAAAGTTTTACTATTAAAATCAAAAAGTCACATTTTTTAAATAACATGAAATGAATGCAATGTAAATGCATCTCTTATTAATGTTATATTGAACGTTCATTGTGTAACCTTATTTATACAATCTGTCCATCTACAGATATTACCTCTTATGGAATATCTGTTCCATAATATCTGTTCGAAATAAAAACATTAAAAAGAAAACAAACCATATAATTTACTTAAAATGGGACTATACCTAGGAATGTGAGTGATATTTTCAGAGTAAGACAAGATTACCTAAGTAAATTAATCGAGATTTCATGTATTATTTTATGTATTGTAAAGTTCCTCAGAATTTTAGCTCACAACTATTTTCTGGTCATAAATTTAGTGATTTTACAAGCTTTGGAACCATTTAAATAACTTCCAAATCAAGCAATTTCCTCTCAAGCAATTGCATTATTTTCTTTCCGTAACAAACTGTTCTGCGCCTATATAAGTAATTCCTTTACACTCTTTTCAGCCTTATACCGTGAGAAAACTTGCACAATACCATTAAATAAATTCTTGACAATTACAATATAAAAACCTGCTTAGAAAAATCTTTTAATTATTATAGATATAAAAAACCTGCTTAGAAAAATCTTTTAATTATTATAGATTTGCAATGATTATCTTAAGATATGAATAATGGGACTTTTTATAATATCAACATACCTAACCTGTTGCCACAATTTTTCTCTTAACAAAAGTTCCTACTACAGAAAGCAATCTAACATAAATTTGCTCAGAGAAAGTAATTCCTTACCTTTTCTTTTTATTTATATTGTAAGACTAATATAGTAGCAATCTGTCTCATAGTAATAACAGGATCTCTTTATTTTTTGTTTACTGTAACTTCAACCTAAAATAAGACTTTCAATAGCTTTCTTTGTTGAATTATTAACTTACAGATATTCCTGAAGCTAACTTTGATTTTAAAGTACTAAAGGCTACAATGTCAGTTATCTGGACCTGGTGAACTTATTTAGAAATTAACTGTTGTTAAGTAGAATACATTTCTATTTTTTTTCTGGGTGACTATGCTTATCTAAAAGACAGAGAACACTAAAAAAATCTAAAACAAATTACTTGAAGTATGTAATAACACAAAGCAATTAAATTTTCTCAGAAGAGGTTAATCAAGCCCATCTTCAAAAAATACTTAAATAAACCTCTACAACAGCATAATTGTTAACATTTCAAGTAAAGCTTTTGGATCCAGGTATAGACTATTTCCTCTTCCCTGGAATGGAAAACTGCTTTAATGTCATTTGGAAATTTCCTGGACACCTTATAGGCTAAACTGAACAAAGTAACTATGATCTCTCCATAAGCCAAAGCTACAATTTGGCAAATTCTTTGCATTGTTTGTGTTAATGTCTACAGCAATGTTTCACAACCTTGGCAAGTTTAAGAGGTATGGAGTTCAACTCCCAGAATTCCACACCCAGAGAAACACCTACATTAAGAAACTGCAGAAGACAATTTATTTTCTTTCCTGTGTCGAGAACCATTCACAGACTTTTGCACTGTATATTTCAGTGGTGCATTGCCCTAACAGCACTGAAAGCAGCCAAGAGACTATGGGCAGGTCTGAGTTCTAAATTTTATGTAACACTGCTTCAACCCATGTTATACTCATGCTATAGGAGATACCTTTCAACCTACTTGGACCACAGGTTGGGGTTTTTGAAATATTTATCTTAAAAGCACAATGTGAACTAACAAACCATAAAATCATTTTGGAAATACATGACATAGCAGCTGCTGTATTAATTATTAATACAGTAAAACTATTAACCTCATTTCACCAAGAAAATGCTCAAACCCAAGAAAAAAAGCTACAAAGCAAAATCTGCCTGCCCAACACAGAGACTTTTTTTAGCATCATTCCTCCTGAAACAGGCCTGGTATTCTAGACATATGGGGTTGCTATATTTGATGCAAAGCAATGAGAAGGATGGGAATAGGACTCCAGTCATGACTCTTTCTAGCACTTCAAAAGTCAGCTTCATCAAGAATTCCACTGAGATTATTAGAGTCTTTATGGGAATTTAGGAATTTAAAGAAGATAGAGAAAGATAAAAACTAATGAAAAACCCCTGATGCTTTGGTTTGTCCCATTTTTCTCAATGAATTATTTTGTATGCTTTATGTGCTAAGACATTATATAAATATTGAAAATGTATTATTTTTTATCTCACCTTTATACTTGTATAAATAACTCAAGGTGACAAGCATATATAATACCACTTCTTCCTCCTGTTTTCCCAACAACATTCCTGTGAGGTAGGTTGGGCTGAGACAGAGTGACCAGCCTAGTCACAAAGCTGGTTTTCATGAAGAAGGCGGCAATAGAACTGACAGATGCTTTAGTTTTTAAATTAAGCAGTCCCTGTACCATTACATGTGTAACTGCATGCACAATGCAAAGGCTTCCATCATATTTGGCTTCCCAGTTACTTCCACTTTCATCCCAGCCTCCAAACTATACAATATTCCACAATTCTTCCAACAATTATAGGATTTGTTCAGATGGTTCCATTGTTGAGGTGACTATTTCTATCCTCCCTCCCCTGTGAATTGAATTTTAATGATAGTAAGTTTTTTACTTTGTACGATTTTTGTTTTTATTGATTGATTGTTCTTACTGATTCTTTTGTCACCTCTGGTAAGATGATGGCTATTATAAATTTGATTAAAAACAAACAAACAAACTTAAGTCCAATCTATTAGAGGTTCTTGTTTGGAGGAAGCAGTTCCATCAAACAGATACTATAAAATATACATTTCAATTCAACTTTTCCATTTAGATAAGTTTCCTTTCTTTTTAGAAATTAAAATATGTACACAAGAAAATTCTCTCTATATGTAACATTAAAAATAATGCCTATATCCTTGAAAGTAGCTGTGAATTGGAGAAACATAAAATATAATAACTCCTTATGTCTCAAACCCTGTCTACAAAGTAGGTCTTTTTTTAACAATGAAGTTATATCTGACAACGAACATTTTATTAATATTATAGAAAGTGAGGAACCAAGCAACACAAACTTCACTCAATATATTGTATCTTACTCTCCATATATTTTGGGATTGTTTCTGTATGTGTTTGTTTCCCCAGGAGAGGTCTACTATCTCCATTTACAAAACTCCAAACATCACAGATGACAGTAAAGAGTTGTATTTCCCTATATCATCTTTGCTGCTATATGATAGTTGTCCAGATTTCTAAAAATCCCAAATATAATAATTGATTCTAGGATGGAGCAATATTTTGATATTTTAGGAGTTCAGAGGGGTGACATTCTGTGATTTTTATATGAGAAGGAGTTGAATGAAAACTGTGCTATTTTACTACTTCAATTCATTTAGTATTCCACTGAAGTACAGTTTATTTACCCAGATTTGGGGCTCTTTCATTAACTCTTTTTATTAGCATTCTCTCATTGCAATTTTGGTTCCTTTTTGAATTAGTTTCAGTTAAGCTACTTATGTTTATGCCACAATCTTACAAATTAATATAGTACTGATCCAAAGTCCACTGAAGACTGCTTAATGATTTCTGAAGAATTCTAATCATTATCCTGACTAGTGAAAAAGAGCATTGCCAAATTTAGTTTAGCACTTAATTTTTAATTAAAGTACGCAAACTTTCCATTACTTTTTAAGCCAAATCCCAATGCGTAAATACACATGATACACATGATGTAATCTATCATTAGGACACTTTGGTCCAAGTAAAATGTATTACCCTAATTCCTACCTCATAGGTTGTTGTAAAATAAAATGAGAGGAGAGCCTCATCTACGCTGCCTTCAATAGTCAGAGAAATGATAAAATAAAATACAAATCAATTAAATAAACAAAGAGCTCACCAAAAGTCAGAGTAGCAATGACCAACCACCTCTTTTCCAGGTACACTGATCATCTAATTTGGAGTAGAGACTTTCAGGCAGAATATCTGAGATCAACATTGTGGTACATTATGAAATAGTTGGTTTAGCTTTGGGTTAATACAATGTATAAATCTAGTTGATAGCCGAGATAACAGATTACAAATGCAATACAATGATTTGGTAACTATGACTTAGGCATTAAAGAGTTGTGTGAGGTAGCTAGTAATAATTTATTCTACATCCATGTTTAGTATGTATTAGTATAAGCTATGTCTCAATTAGCATAATTGATTACTTATTCAATTATTTAAGATGGTCTATTATCTGTTATCTGAGAAAAGGAAAGTACTGGTGGAAATAGTCTTAAGAGAAATTTTCAACCCCAAGTAAGACAATCAACCAGCCACACCTACCTCAATGCATTATTACAAAAGGAAGACACACAAGCACATATAAGGCAGATGTACGAATATTAGAACATTTAATATTTAGTTGAGGCAGGTCCTGGTTCTTCTAAACAAAAGAAATAGAAAATAAACCACAAAATTACAGGAACAAAATTACTACTCTTTTATTGACCGAACTGGCCATTAATGAAATATAAGAAAGTGGTATAATTATGTTAATAAATGCATCTAACTTCCTTTTAATCAGAATCATTTCTTGCATCAATATGTCTGCTAAAATATTTCATAATTTGACACATTCTTAACTATTAATTAGTTCTGGCTAATGATGTCTTCCTTATAAGCCTCCCTTCCATAGCTATTCAAGAGACATTTCTTTATTCATGTTAATATTCCTATACAGGGGCATCTTCTTAGTTAAGGGGATACAACACG